AACTTTATCTTAGAAATTTTAAGTCTCTAAAATACATTAAAAGTTAAAAAACTAAACCATTAAAAGTTAGAGTATCATACCAAGCATACAATGATGCAAATTATGTTTCAAATGGATGTTTCAATCACTCGCAAAGGCCAAAAACTGAAGCTTCTAGAAAGAAACATAGAGAGAGAGGAAATTTTGCAAAAAGAGGAAGAAGAAAGAAGAAACGCGATTTTATGTGTTTTGCACATTATAAACAAAAAAATCCATCTATAAATGGTTTAATAAAATAGTGCATTTTAAAAGTTTAAATACAGACAAATTTATCCATTTGTAAATTTGTCATATACAGTTACAGACAAAAAAATCTGTTTGTAAATTGCTAGATGAAAAGTCGGTAAAAAAGGCAATATTTATGAACGGATTTTCTCATCTGTAACTCACGTTCCAAAATTTCCTCCTATTTTCAAATTACAAATGGGTTTTTCTGTTTGTAATTCCTGTCTATAATATTTCACACCAAATGGTAGCCAACTACAAACGAACGTTACAGACGGATAAAAATTCGTCTATAATATAGACGAATTTTTTAGAAAATTTTAAAAAAATATTCAATTATCCATTTGTAAAGTTGTTTGTATTACATACGGATAAAGATCCGTCTATGTTGTTCGTCTGTAAATAGTACTTTTCTAGTAGTGTATGTAATTTGAAAAAAATTATGCAACACAAAATCTTAATATCTTAACCACACACAAAAAATGTTAAATAAACTATAAAATAAATTATGGTTGTGTTGGCTATCATAGAACTCTTCCTTTTTCGACAATAAAGCTTGCAATAGTGGCTAACATATATCCTCTCATTTTAGGACTCTCCTCCCTCTCGTTGTAGTCTAATAAACTTAGTATTGAAGAAATGATATGTATTTGAACTTAATTAAATGGTCATTTTTCTATGTTTGGCGTAAAATATTTGAGTCATATTCAAAATTTAAGCATTTCTTTTTTAAGCAGTTGATTAATATAAACATGACTGATCATGGTGTATATAGAAACTCTACCTTCTAACTTTATTAAAATTAATATAGATGATAGTCAACTTTAACATCAAAATTAGATGGATGCTAGGGTATCATTCTTGATAATATAGATAGATGGATATTAAGCATCTTATGTAACAAGGGTTCAAATGATGCCTTGTTGGCAAAAATTTTGGTTATTAAAATGGAGCTTAGCTATACTTAGTAGATGGAGTACATAGATATAATTTATAATGCAATTACTCTTTTCACTGACATACATAGATCTAACATATATATGGTCACATTCTTCATAAAGAATTTCTAATCTCATTAATAAAAGTTTAAATATTTTTCTATGCTTCTTTACTTGAGAAAGCTAATAGTATTGCAAATCTTTTTGCTAAAAAGAGATTGTGTAAGATATATAACTTTATTTTTGGTACTTGTTATAGTATTTTAATGTTAATTTGAGAGAGCAGTCATACTCTTTTTACATGAATCAATAACATAAAATTATATTTGTTCTTAATAAACATATTATTTATTATTTTAAATATTATAAAAGGTCTTATGGTATAGTTTATTTTAAAAAGTTATACTTTATATTACAAAGTTTGTTGAACTCCTAATGCAAAAAAAAAAAAAAAAAAAACTCAAATAGAAGGAGCATTTATTTTTCAAGAGGGAGTTAACGTTAATTGATTGAATTAAAAAGGCATTGGTGAAGATTTTGTAGTGATTGATGGTTCATAGTAATACATGGGTGCTAGCTTCACAAAAGAGGATGGCTTTGAGAGAAGCTCATTGATAAGTTTGTATCATGATATGTTTTTATATCTTATATATTTATATGTTACTATTATTTTAATTGAGTTTTTTTACTAATTTATATATTAACTGTTTATTTTAGCATAAGAAGGTTATTGTTGGGTTTTGGGTGTGTTTTCACAGTAACGAGCATGCCCAGACTCCTAGCAGTCAGTATGGGAGTACTTTGATCCATATGTACAGTCGTACTTATAGTCTTGTATGGCTGTGCTCACCTGCGAGAAGCCTAACTATAAATTTTTTTAAGATTTCAAAACTCTATTAAAGAGATCTTAGGGACAGCAACTTGATAACACTTTACACATCCTGTTTTTTATGTTGTTTCTATCTTATCCCTCCCATGCCTTTTACTTATCTCTTTCACATCCTCAACCTTGATATTGGTCATTCGCTAACAACTATTGGAGCTTTGAGAGTGTGTCAGATCAAAAGCTCTCATCGTCTCTTCTCAATTAGAGATTCCTCTAATTTATATTTACTTTTCGAGTTCTATGTATTTGTTTAGTGTTATTTTGATTTTCTTTTATATTATGTCTGACTAAATCCATACCTGGAGCTATGATGAATTTTTTGCATAATTTTATGAGATATTTTTTTATTAATAATAATTTCATATTTTTTTTTTTGATTGGTGTTCATCATATCATACTATATTTGTATGTTTAGAATTGACAATTCTTAAATATATTATAATTAACTATATCATAGACAATCATATCATATATAATTAATGAATCTATAGAATAAAATGAAATAAAAAATTAGATGAATAAACTTTAATTCTTCTCTTTCAATCGTTATTAAATTAACAGTTTATAAAAAAATTGAAATTAAAATTAATCTAGAAAAGAATATAAAAAATTGAAAAAGTAAAACCATACATTATAAATTCTTTTTGTGAACACTTACAATGATAGAGACAACTTGAATGATAGCGTTGCAGTAGAGTTTAAAATTAAATTTTGTCATATTATCTATAAACTCAAAATGCAAGCCACCTCTCATCGAACCGAAATACTATCACCCTCTTAGTCCATTGTGAACGTATCTCAACCCTGAAACAACCACATTTTATTATCCTCGTCAAAGGCCACCATTAGCAACTATCATATCCGAATATGCAAGCCAATACTCAAAACAAAATCAACCCATCCTAATTACTATTGTTGAGGTCGACAACCACCGTGACATCGCAATGCCTTTATCTTCTGTCACCACCATCACCTATCACTTCTAGGTACGTTGTCTTTCTACCTTCATTAGTAACTTTTTTTTTTCTCTATTTTCAATAAACCCTAGCTGCAGCACCCTCTTCTTTTAAATGTGTTGGAGTGGTTTGTAATTACAAAATGTAAAAATTATTATTATTTTTCAAATCTAAATATATTTTTTACAAATGTCATAAATACATTGAACTAGACAAGAAGGATACCGGTACCCTTTAAAATTTAAAGGTACGGTAAAAGTTACCTTTCTCTTTTAATGAATGTGTTTTTTTGCAAACATTTTTTTTTATCTGTTATGCTATATTGCAGATTTATTCTTTTCTTACATTTTTGTTTTACTTTCTTCGTTGTAGCAAGAAAATAAAGATAAACTATAAAATGTCAAATACAATTCGATAACTCTTAACGATAAATGCATAACTATACCATTTTTACAATTTTGTTCAAACTGCCAAGATCGCAACCCTCATTAATTTTAAAGGAAATAACCATGACATATGCATTAAATCACAGACGTGAAACTAATAAAACTACTAATTTCATAGATTAGAAAAAAAAAACACTACTCTGAAACAGTAATTTTAAAATAAATAGTTTTAAACTTTGAACTATTTATTTTTATTTTAATCTTATGAGACATGTAACATGACTCTTTATACTAACTTAAAAGTTTATCCAATTTTATATTTTATGTTAATTTTTAATATATTGCATGAACTAACAGTATAAATTAAGTTATTATCAATTTGATCTTAATTAAATTATGATTAAATCAATAAATTATAAATTATAATACCGTTAACAATTTAATGACGACTTCACGAGTTTGTTTTTGGAAACATTATTTTTAGGCATTAATATTACCAAAGTAATAATTTTCGTGTCTTAATATTTTCTTAATGTCTCAGAATAATTTCAGGCGTGTCTTAATATCTTTATCAACTGGTAATTTAATTACTTAATCATTTAAGTAATTATTTTTATAAAATTTCCCATTGTATAAATATTTAGTAAAAGTTGATTGTTGTTAATTACTTGAAGATGATTACTCTCACTTTGATTGATACATGAAAAAAAAAAAAAGGCCAGAAAGATATAGCTAAGAAATAAAACAGTAATTTAAAAAAAAATTGGAATAATATAAACCGAGAAAGAAAATATTCATGTGGAGCCCATAAGGAAACTATTCTTTCCTTCATTGTCGTGAAAATTAAAAGAGAGGGGATACATTTTTTTTTTACCCATGTCAAACCTACTTTTTCTCTCAGTATAATATTATTTTTTACTAAGATATCTTAAAGGAAATTAATTTATGTTTTAAAAATCCACTTTAAAATAAAATTATACCAAAATTTATCATAAAATATTAGCATACTGCAAAAAAAAAAAAAAAACTAACTAATAGTACTTAATTTTAGTTCAAAATTAATTAAAGATATAAATGTCTTTAAAAAAATATATCAGTTTTCTTTCTCTTTACTTCCTTTCATATTTCTCATATACTAAACAACTTAAAAAATTATCTATGTTTTCATCACTTTTAATTATAAAACAAAATAAAAATAAATTGTCTAAATTTAGTGCAACTAAGAATAATAGGGGGAGATTGAGAATATAAACGATAACTGAAAACTGAAAATGACACAAACTTTAGGATCTTGTACTTTAATTAATATCTGAGGAGAAATCCTAAAGAAATGTATGTGAACGAATCAGGTATGGATGCAATTAATGAATCTCGAACCTGACTACAATGTCGCTTAAATGACACAGTGGATGCATGCATGACCATTGACCAAGTCAAGCCATGATTTTTTCTATCTTTCAGGACAGCCTGGGACGTGTCAACCCTTCTGAATCTCGAACCAGGCCATGTCGTTCTCTCTCTCTTTCTCTTCCGTTTTCAACAAAACCACCCAAAAAGCTTCCCAAATCGCATGCTCTCAGGTGGGGCTGTGGCTTATCACAACATGAGCCCCTCCGTCTTCCTCCTGTGGCTTGTCACTATTCCTTTCCTTGCCCACTCTGCCCTAGCTTCTAACCCTCTAGGTACACTTTTATAAAATAATTAAATTAACCCAGCAATTAATCACAACGCAATTCATCTCCCAATCTTCCTAATGTGATCATAATCATTATGCGTTCACTTTTTCATAGAATAATGGGTTAAGGTCTTTTATTCTTTCTTTCTTCTTTTCCTCAATGATTGCATCACAATTCTTTAAGATTCTCTATAAAATAAACTATGCACACAATTTATGACGTGTTTGAATTAGCGTTAAATTTATTCAAATATTAATCCATTCTTTTAACGTGATTATTAAAAATTTTCAAACACAGACTTGATATTTTGTCTTAGGAATTTGAATTGGACCCCCTTGATGCATAAAATTTGTAACATGGGGCATTTATGCATGCATGCTGCAGGATATTTTATAGACTGTGGGGGCTCCAAAGAGGTAACGGTAGACAATCTCACGTACATTCCTGATGGAAGCTACACGAAGGTGGGTAACACAACCACCATCAAGAAACCAGACTTGTTGCCCATATTCTCCACATTGCGTTACTTTCCAGACACATCGGCTAGGAAATATTGCTATTCATTGCCCACCATCAAAGGCAACAAATACCTAGTGAAGACCATGTACTATTATGGAGAGTTTGATGGAGGAAAGCAACCTCCAGTGTTTGATCAAATCGTTGAAGGGACCAAATGGAGCATCGTGAACACCACAGATGACTATGCCAAAGGTCTAAGTTCCTACTATGAGGTTGTGGTAAGTTCGTCAGGGAAGACATTGAGCGTGTGCTTGGCCAGGAATGCACACACTGGTAATCAAAGCCCGTTTATTTCAGCCTTGGAGGTAAAGAGCTTGGATGCTACTTTGTATAATCCTACTGACTTTGCCAAGTATGCTCTTGTAACCGTTGCCAGGCATGTGTTTGGAGGTGAACAGATCATTAGGTAAAAGAAGTTTCACCTTTATATTTTGATTATTTTCTTCGTTTTTCAGCTTATCTAAAGTTCGAATTGAAGATGTGTACAAGGTAGGAAAAAAACAAATGATATCTATTATTAATTTGAATGAGTTAAATCAGTACATCCTAATGAGTAAAATTTGAGGACTTAATTTCATATGGGGGCATTAGAATAGTGCTTATTTGAATTATATATATATATATATGTTTACACGAATGGTAAGGAAAATGTGAAATTAAATAATCACGGTCAGAATTCTGATCATGGAGATGTTTATTTGTGGACCTAGTTTTCCAGATGACAAATTCAACAGGATGTGGCAACCATTTAAGGACCAGAATCCTGTTGTGGCAAGCCAGTCAAATGTAACTGCTTCAGACTTTTGGAACCTCCCTCCAGTTAAAGCATTCAGTTCTGGAATTACCACTAGTCGAGGGAAGACACTTGAAATTCAGTGGCCTCCTGTGTCCCTTCCAAGCACCTACTACTACATTTCTCTCTATTTTCAAGACAACAGAAGTCCAAGCCCATATAGCTGGAGAGTATTTGATGTTTCTATTAATGGCCATACTTTTTTTGCAAGTCTTAATGCCACATCAAAGGGTGTCACGGTTTATGCTGCACAGTGGCCACTCTCTGGTCAGACCAAAATTACATTGACCCCTGGTAGTGGCATACCCGTTGGACCTGTGATCAATGCTGGAGAAATTTATCAGATTCTACCTCTTGGTGGTCGAACTCACACTAGAGATGGTAACATACTAGTCTCAGTATTTTCCAATTTCTTTGATTAAATTAAAATCATAAAGCTACTTGTTTGAACCATTTAGTTGTTGTGGCTATCCATAGTGATTGCAATGGAGGATTTGGCTAGAAGCATTCAAAATCCACCTCCTGATTGGCACGGTGATCCTTGCCTACCTAAAGGGAATTCATGGACTGGAGTTACATGCTCTGATAAATTTATTGCACGAGTCATCACTGTGTAAGTTTACATTTATTTGGTTCATTTGACTTCATTCATATATATGAGTGGAAAAGTGTATCGCATAGCAATTATCCCCTTCTAGTGGTAGTGTTGCCTCTCATGTTTATTGTGGTGGATTCAACATATTTTGGTTTTTGTATAAATGAAGGAACTTAACAAATGCTGGGCTTGCTGGGTCACTTCCTCCATCTATTGGCCATCTAAGTGCACTTGTTCATCTGTATGGAAAATTTGCCCTTTGACCTCAAATATCCTAAGTGAATCTTTTCTTTTCATTTTTCATTTGACCACAAAATCATGCCACTTTGTGAATATTTGATTACAGTTGGCTAGGGGGAAACAAACTCTCAGGCACCATCCCCGACTTGAGTGGATTAAAGGAGTTAGAAACTTTGTATGTTGCCCAAAATTATTCTTAATTTCTAGTTTCTTAAATTGTCCACGGTAACCTGATCTTTAACTTCCTTTTTTTCTTTGATCTTCGTTAAAACCAAGGCATTTGGAGAGAAACAAGTTTGAAGGATCACTTCCTCCATCAATAAAGGAACTCCCAAGGCTGCATGAAATGTAAGATTTTGCCATTTCAGGACAAAGCTGAACATGAACACTGCAAATGCAAATATTTTCTTCTTTCATTCTATTATGCCTTAAACCTCTAAATGGAAACTTTATTTTCTCTGACGTACCCGTATTCCGTATTGGATACCGGTACACGTTAAGTACTTAACTATTAACTTAAACTATTTTCTTTTAAAAAACTGACAACATTTTTATAAATTTGGTAATTATTTTACCTTTCATTCAATCTTCTCATAGTCATTTTTCTATATAATCAAATTCATTCATTCTTATGAAAAAGCGATATGAGTTTATTAAATTCTTAAATTATAGATATTTTCATAGTAATTTCCACATATTCTTTATTCTATTTATATTATCTTGTACTCGTATCTAAACCGGGATGAATAGTTCGCATAAATATCCATGCAGCTTGGGCATTAATTAACTAGACAGTCTCCATTGGCTTTGACAAATATCTTCAAATGATTATGTCACATGCAAAGAAATAAATCTTCACCATTTTTTATTTTAATTTTTTTCTCTTTTTCACACATCCATTAAGAGCTGCCTACTAACTTGTGTGTGCCCTGTGACGAACGGCGTCTTTGAAACCAGTTATTCGGATTTTCAAAATTACAATTTCAGTGGGAAGTTACCAAACACTAAAGCAAAGTGAAGGGATGGTACAAGTAAGAGCACCACTATACTTTTGTCCCTTTGCTACTTATAACTTACATTTATTGAGTTCCTCTGATGCTCAAGTCCATATTTGTAGTTGATAATTGTGTGTTTTCGGTTGCAAGGTGGCTCCAGAGATTCATCTGTTAGAGGGAACGTAGTGGCATTGCAAATGCAGCCTGTGACTGGGAAGTGTTGAACACAACCTAGTGGAGAATTGACACCAATACAAATCTCGTTATTTCTTTATCGCATTGTTGTCAGGCATCACATTGTAAACCAAAACTATATAAAGTAAATACATTATGAATACAAAAATAGATTGTATACATTGCAATTATGAATGTTTGTTTTTGTGCCAAATATTAGACGAATTATTCAATGATGCCGTGATATTAATCTACTGGACTTTTAAAGACTAATTTTAATATTTTGTTTTTTCAAAGATTATATCGAAGGAATCCTTATCCTTTAATTAAATTGAAATTTTAGTCTATTCACATTTTGGTTAATAAAATTTTAAATGATTAATTGCAAAAAATTTAAATATTATATCTTAAAAAAATAAATATCAAAATAATCCGTCGAAAAAATTAAGTTTAGATTAGTTCCATTTTTATGTTATTCTTAGACTGGCATAAACCAAAATGTATCTTTTTTTAATCAGTTTTTCTAATGTATAAAATTTTATGAACAATAAATTTTGTTTAATTTTTTAACATGTCAACATTTTTTGATAATAAAATCTGATAATTTTTATAGCTTGAGATTCATCCAAATTGAAGGGTCCTATGTGTGTTCTCCCCAATTTGAAAGTAGTATTTGACGAATCACGTGTAATAACTGAACGTGAACCGACCATGCGAGAGTGGCACATTCATCCAATAGACTGAGTAGCCATAAAATCCGTTTATCTGATAACAAAACGCCACAAAGTCCAACACAAAACCCCCTCAATTCCCCCAACCCCTAACCCTGCTTCTGCATACCAAACCACACTCTTAGCTTCAATCAATAGCATATCCATATGCATATAGATGCAATAATTCCTCTCACACTTGTTCACGTTCCCCAGTAATAATCCTTTCACTCAAGTGTGGCTTCATTTTTCTGCGAATGTTCTCTACCAATGCACCAACATCCCTCTTCTTTCCCTCCAAACCTTCATCCTTCCGCTGCCGCGCCTCCGCCGGAGACCTCTCGCCGGGACCCTCCTTCTTCCCTCGCCTCTTCCAGTCCGCTGCCGCCGTCGCCGGAGGCCTCAGGATAGGCCAGGTCCTCGATGGAGGAGGAGCCGCCGGCGTGGAAGGTAGACGCGGCGGCGGGAACGAGGGGATAAGGGTGAAGAAATGGTCTCGGAATAGAGATAGCTACTTGGATAACGATGACGAGCCTCTTCCTCTTCCCATGACGTACCCTGATTCTAAACCCGTCTCTTCCGAGGAGATTGATAAGCGCCTCCAATGCGATCCCCAAGTTCAGGTTTTCCCCTCTTACCCAATACTTCGATTTATTTTTTTTTTAGAAGGATGCTTGTCTGGTGAGTTCACATTGAATAATTTACCTAGTTACAAAATAGATGTTTTGTTCTGTTATAGTTTCTGCTGTTATAATACTGGTAGTATAACTTTATTTGCTTTTTAACAGTGTTATAATGTTAGAGACGAATTTGTAAATGAGCGAATGTGTATTTAACCTTACAAAAACATGTTGACATGTTTCACATAATTGATAATTTTTTTTATTTTTGGTGCGTGCGTGCGTGTGGCTTGTAGGATTGTAAAGAGGTGGTGTATGAATGGACAGGGAAGTGCCGTAGTTGCCAAGGATCAGGACATGTGAGATATTATAACAAGAGAGGGAAAGGGGCTACCTGCAAATGCATTCCTTGCATGGGAATTGGTAATGGACTTTCCTTGAAGCAACATGACTTGGCTTTCTTTTGTTCTTTTCTATTCAATGGCTAAAGATCGTATGCATTAGGATTCATTGTGGCGAGGAGAACAAGCATGTTGGAGAAAAAGAGAGAGAGAGAGAGAGTACTCATGAGATTTCTTTTTGATGAACAAAAATTGAGTGTCATGGTGTGTGACCTTCAAATGTTATAGCTGCATATATATGTTTGTGCATGAGCCCACAAACATATATGTTACATTGTGACACTAATTTAGAGGACGAGTATTCTCCTGTGGGTCCATATTATCATGACAATGACTTATTTTGAGAATTTTCTCTTTATTCTTTTTTGTTTGTTTCTAATAAATTGGATCCATCTAACTCTGTCCACTACCCACAATGGCTGGAACCTTGTGCAATTGTTCACCTTACAGTGAGACAAGGTTTGGTACTTTAGTTGTTGTTGCGCTAATAATTCTCAAGCTGAAATTGTGTGTTTGCAGGTAGGGTTGTAGCTAAATTTGGCTTTGCTTATGTGCTATTTAGGTTCATTTTTTATGTGGAATGTTTAGGTTTAGGCATATCTGATTTACCCCTTGTACTGGGTAACTGCTGTTCTTTTAGCAAGGCACCAGAGAATTTTCAACTGTTAAGCATTCTTGATGTCTTTAAACTTAGGAACTCAGGTTCAAATTGATTTAAGTAACACCCATTATCTCTGTCTCCTATGTTTTGTTAGCTCCTTTACTATATTCTTGAATTCTAATCAGCTTGTTTTTTGGCTCCAAAGTTTGCTCAATTAGCTGCCTTAATTCATGGATAAATTTCATTTTTATGCATCAATTTTAGTTCCTGTTATCACAATTGCTTTTTTCTTTTGTTTGCAATCTATCATCTCTTTTTCCCCTTGGCCTTTTGTAAAAGATAGATGTACTATTGCACTTGCACTCATGGATATTTACTTTCAATGTTGAAAGTTGAAAATGTCTATGCATTGTTTATGTGCATAATATATATTTAAAAAAATATAATTTAAATTAAATATTTTTGTATAATAATATAATCTTATTTTGAGGCATATTTGCATATAAAAACTTGTGAGTTGTGAGTCTTGTGACTAAAAGCTGTCTTGATGTAATTGAATATCTGATGTTATGATCATCCTATAAAAGCAAACATGATAATTGTAATTATAATATAGTCAGGAATCTATTTGCTTGATTGTCATCCAGTCACAACTCATGAACTTCAATTTCTATCTATTTATAAAGGACGTGTTTCTGTATTATCAATTGTTGTGTGTGGAATAATTTTTCTGTAAATTTAGTTATCTACCATCTTAGCCATTTCAGCATAGAAGACAGTAGAATAGTGGTAGTAAAAACTTGAGAAGACAATATGGAAGTATTAAAAATATTAATGAGATTGTGTTTTTGTGAAGATTGGGATTGCCCCTAGGATCTCTGGCAGTACCTGTATGCTAATTTTAGAAGATTTGGCATCAGCAGAGATGTTAGAACTTAGAAGGCTTTGGCACTGTACCCAATCAGCAATTATTTGATGTATATGGTTGTAAAGAAATGGTAGAATATTTATTGGGCTTCAGTTTGAGTTTATTTCAGATCAACTGTTCACCTAGCATCTTTGTTGTGCTATACTTTTGGTGGTTATCGTCTTTTTTTTTCTTTTTTCCATGGTATAATTTGTATAATTTTATCTCATTTAAGTGTGTATTTGAAATATATTCCAGTGAACACGGTAAATTAGCCCATGGAGCATATTGCTGTTTCTGAATTTTTTGCATTCAAGGAACCATTATTTAATATATTGCGTGGCTATAGCCATGCCCCATTCATGTCACTTGATTTGTGACTTTGACAAGCTATTTTTCCCATAGTTATAAGTCCCTGATAACAATGCAGAGCTGCCGACACCAAAAAAATTCTAGCAGGATGACTGTCTCTGTTATACTGAAAATAATGGAAAAAGTATGTAATTTTCTCTAAACACATAAAAGTGCTAAAAAATCAAAGGTTACCCAACATTAATAACATGTTAAAAATCAAAACTCATAGTCTGGACACACAATCACCAACAATCTAAGGCATAATTAACAAGACAATAATAAGGAGTGAGCAAGAGTGTGAGACTGAGGTGCGTGTTGGGTGGTTGTAACTGAGATGATGGTTTGTTAACCATAGCAACCACAATGGCTGTGATTTGTCTGCTATTCACCGTTCAGGATGCTATTGCCTCTTGACAATGGTGCAACGCGGTGCTACTTCTGGCACAGCCAGGCCATGCAACACATTACATGGGAACCAGGATTCTCTCTCGTTTTGGCACAAACTGGATGGTTCAGTCAAGCAAAATTTTGCATTTTTGCTTAAGCAAATTTTTTTGGCTTAAGTGAAAATGCAAAATCAACGTGACAGG